CACGCCAAACGTAAAGTAAAGAGGATGAGAAAACTGCTGAAAACCAACCCACTAAAATACACACAGCACGATCTCAGCACGGCTATTGAATACATGAAGTCAAAAATTAAGACAGCTAAGCAATTCTACTTCACAAATACACTCACTAACGTTTTGAAATCAGTCCCAACGAAGTTCTGGAACTACATAAACCCGAAAACTTGCAATGATGACGGAACGATAGATGTAGACAACCGAAGGTCTGCTAACCTGCTTAATGACTACTTCTGCTCTATCTTCATGGAGGATGACGGCACACTACCTTAGACACGTCCGTCAAAATTAAAGCCTCTAGATCAGCTACTAATAACCGAAGCAGGCATACTTAATTTGCTGCTCAAACTAGATTCTAAGAAATCATCAAGACCTAACGATATATCAGATGCATTCCTTCGCAGATACGCTTAGTGGATGGCCAAGTACCTATTAATAATCTTTAACAAGTCATTGTCATCAGGGACCCTCCCTAACGACTGGAAAACAGATTGGAACACATCATCTTAAAGCACATAACTAAACACCTTGAAAAGGAACAAATGCTAACAACCTGTCAGCATGGATTTCGAAAAGGTGTCTCCACAGTCACGCAACTACTTGAACTCGTACACGATGTATCGCTGAGTCTCGACCTACAGAAACAAATCGATCTTATCTTTTTAGACTTTTCAAAGGCTTTCGGCCGGGTATCACACGACAAACTAATTCATAAACACGAACTAACCTTGGGGAAAGGGCCCATTGTCGATTGGATAAAGGATTATCTTAGTGACCGCACCCAGTTTGTAGAAGTCAGCCGGCGACATTCGCATAAATCTAGCGTAAGATCTGGAGTTCCACGAGGAAGCGTTCTGGTTCCAGTTTTATTTTTTATATACATTAATGATCTGCCTTGTAATATTCCTTTCAGCGTCAGACTTTTCGCTGATGACTGCGTTTTATACAAAGTAATTGACTCTTATAGTGGCCATCTTGCATTAAACAACTCTTTATTTTTAGTACTCAAATGGTGTAAAAAATGGCAAATGACACTAAACGTTAAGAAATCAGCTGTCCTATCAATAACGAGAAAAAAAAACACACTTCTGATTTTAACTACACTTTAGGCAGCGCCACACTCAGCGCAGTAAAAGAGTATAAATACCTTGGCTTAACACTAACCCATGCTTTAGATGGGAACGCTCGTAAGCAACGTCACCTCGACTGCACTGATAAAACTGTTTTTTTAAATAGACGTCTGAGACTAGCCCCCCCCTACCACAAAGCTATTAGCATACCAAACTTTTGTCAGATCAACATTGGAGTACGCTAACCTTGTTTGGTTTCCTTCCACTAAAGAACTCATTTACAAACTCGAAGCAGTCCAAAGGAAGGCACTAAGATGCATTCATAATAAATATAGGCTAAAAGATTTACGCACAGAATTACTAAAACAGGCCGGTATCCTCACCTTACAAAACCAAGCCAAGCTTGCGCGATTCAAAATGATGCACCAGCTAATTCACAAAGACATAAAAACTGACAGTTCCAAATACTTATCTTTAACCCAAACACGACAAACGCGGCACAAACACGCATTATCATTACATGAGCATGTCATCCATACAAAAAGTCATAAATATTTATTTTTTCCTTGAATGACACGTGAATGGAACAGGCTGGATCCTAGGGTAACAACAAGCACGACGTTATCTACCTTTGTAACATTGCTTGAAGATCAGCTACATGCTGCCCAGTTATGAGCCTCCTGTATCATCCTTACTTCTTTATAACTTTTTTTTTTACATCAGTGCGTTTTTCGCTCCTGTTTTCCCTTTGTATGCCTCTTTGTTCACTTTTTTCTTTTTTTGCTGTTACACTGTACGCATATAATTTCGTTTATTCTACATACTGTTACTTCGTTTATTTTCACCATTTTTACATAAATGTATCTTTTACTTCAGTTTTGCCATTATACACCTCTTTGATCACCCCTTTTTTTACGTATTAGGATGTACTATTATTATGATGCACTATTACGTTTTCTCGTCTGCCTTTGTTAACCGCCAATATTTTTTATGTATAATTGAATATTTGATATTTGTATTGTCATATTGTAACTATCCAATATACCCTTCCTGTAAAGATCCCTGATGGGATCGACAGTATGAATAAAAAGATATTCTTATTGTTAGAAAGTATTACACAGCAAAGATGTATTCAGCTATTCAAAAAGAGTCTTTAGCAACCTTGAGAGATTTTTAAACTGGTACCTGAGTCACAAGACAATATATGGCTTACGCTGCACATCAATAGTAGTGAAAAACTAAAAGAAATTATGGGATGTGTTTATGTGCTTATGTATTATGTATCCTATCATTGTCAAAGTAGCCAGTAATTGTAAAGCAGTTCATAAATTAAAACTAATAATGCGCCCGTCTATTGTTTCGTATTTTGATGTTTTCCAGGAACTTTGATGTGTCACTGCAGTAATGATAAGAATATTTATTGGCAGGAATAAAATGTTGGCAAGTGTTGGTGTTACGAAGTATCACTAGTTAATTGATCAGTGATTGTGATTTTGTGTTCCTACTGCAGCAGTGATTACACCGTTCCTTTGACTATGTTAGGGCTGTAAATGTTATTACTGTAGTTAGCAATCTATCTATCTATCTATCTATCTATCTATCTATCTATCTATCTATCTATCTATCTATCTATCTATCTATCTATCTATCTATCTATAAAACTGAACAGCGAATGAAAGAAAGCAGCACACAATGTCACCACTGGGCTCCGTTTTTGGAAAGTTATGTTTTATTTTCCTTTATTTTGTCATCATGCGTTCGCCAAGTGGCAGATAACAACAATAGCAGAATAACGGTGGCACGAAGATCGATGTTTGAGCCACGTCCAGGTCCACTGCGAAAGGCCAAATTAGTGCTGAAAATAATGCTTAACGTGAAAAATTATTTCCGGGGTGTCCACGCTAAAACATTAAGATATCGTGGTTAGGAACAGCACTAAAACCTACGAAAACGGAATGCGAAATCCTTATGCACGTAAGTCGCGTTACGTATACGTAAGCCAATATTTTCGCTTTCGTCGCGGTGGGTGGCGTCCAGTCGGTCGGTCGGTCAGTCGGTCGGTTGCGAAACTTTATTGTGGTTCTGCAATGCGCGGGTAGTGCACAGCGGACGACACCCACGTCGGAACTGTTAGGCCAAGCCTATCGGCCGTTCCGCGGGCGTGCTGATCGGCCCAAATTGGTCAGCCAGGAAGGAGCTGCGTAGGGCCGCCTCACACCGGACCGATAGTGTCGGGGTTAGTGTACGTTGCCTTGCACTCCCAGAGCATGTGCGCCAGCGTGGCTTCGTACCCACATACCATTAATTTTCTGACATCATAAGCGTGGTGAGCACAGCGTAGAGAGATAGTGGCGCACTTGGTTGCTGCCTTCCGAATTCTTGTAAAACCTGAGATTTCCCTACATGGAGCCACACAGCGAAGATTATATTATTATACTTTAAAGTGAATCATGACATACCCCATCTCTAAATTGCCTTTAAGGGCACACTAAAAAGGAACAATGACTTAGTTTAGATTGACAACTTGCCGTCTGAAAACATTAACAGCGTCTGTTAACTGTTATAAGTAAATTATTAGCGGAAAAATTCAATGTTGAAGTTTCATTCTTCAGCTTAGCGCCAAAACTGGCGCGCGTGACATACGAAATTTGAAAATATATCTTCGGGATTTTCATGACATTGGCTCTGTGAAATTTCCTGAAACTTTGTTTTCTAAGGCACCTACAAATTAGAGGGACCTACAGTTTCCTGAAACTTTGTATTCTAATCGCACCTACAAATTAGAATGTTCTTAATTTTTAACAATTGGAAGCTACGTCTTCAAAAATTCCTACGTCGCGGTGTTTGGTGCAGGCAACTCAAGGTGGCGTCGTCACCCGCAGTTTCTTTTCACACGATTTCTAGCCTACTAAGCTTTGCGTCACAATAAAAGTGGTGTTGCCGGGATTGTGAAAATGTATCTTATACGCAAAAAATGGTTCAGATTTTTGATGTCTCTTCAACAATAGGAGGTCATTATGCTTTTCTGGAGAGTGAAAGTGAGTAATAGAGGATGTTTGCTTTGTTTTTCTTATTTGAAAAATGGCGACGTTTGTTAAACATCCTATGGCAGTAACGCCCCTTTCGTTTCCGTCCACGAACTCTACATCGAGACTAAAATTTAGCATGAGATTCAATTGAATGATTCCCTAGAGTTCGACCATAACTTTGTAATTGGTGGCTTGAAAGATGTTTATGTTATAAAACTGTAGTGCGTGACACTATGTGGCATTGTCCTGTTTAAGGAATAGCGGAAGTTGCGTGTGCTTTCGGATAGTCCTAATCGCATTTTGAAGAGTGGCGTTAAAGCTGCAGCCGCGCCTTACGCACGAAAAACGCTGCCTCTATGTCGTGTCAGAACAAAATCACCCGCCACAAGAAATTGGTGAAATTTTAATGAAGGCGCACCAGGGCCGTATCTTGTTGTAGGAAGCGCCACGTCACCGGCTTCATTTGGACTGTGCGCAAGAAAACTGCAATATTCACTTTCTTCTTTCTCAGTGCCGCATAAAACTTGCGCAAAGGCGCTCTGCACTTCTTGCAGACATGCAAAATAGTTCCTTTTTTTTACTTAAGAGGAGCGTTAATACGTGTCATACCCAAATGATAAGTAGTCTGCTAGTGAATTTTAGACTTTCTCGTCTGCATTGTTTGTTGGAGTCAAATCGACTTACACCAAGACCATGTTAAACGCACTTTGAAATTTTATAGCTTACAGCACGTCCGCTAAGTTTATCATTCCCCGCGCTTAGCGAAATTTGACGCGCTTTACGTATCTGAGAGGGATGCCTTCCTTGCACGTTTTTGATATCAATGACCTAGGTCGGGCTGCGCCTTAACATCTCAGGCTATAAAATAGCGTTACTCGAGCAGCGTCTGAGCAAAATATAAGCTCACAGTACGCCTGGGTGCCTTTTGGAAACGTCGACGGTGACAGTATTCACAGACGTGCTTAGCATGATGCGCTTCGCAGTAATTGCAGCATGCTCGCTCCTCGTTCTCACTACAATGGGTGAGTAGATCAATAACGCCTTTTTTGGTGTCATTTATTATGCAGTGCATCGACTAAAAATCAAATAGCAAGTTCTGCAACACTCTCAACCATGGACGAGTTGATTCGTCTAATAAAAAGTAACAAAATCCTAGCGAGAGCAGAGGCGTAAAGGGATATGGGGAGAATGCGCTAAAGTACTATACGCAGCATACGTTTGCGGGACGTTGGGTCGAAAACGAATGCAAATGTTTGCTATATCAGTGCCTAAGGCTCGTAATAAAGCTGGTAACTGTATAAGTTGGAATGCGAAGTGCAGTATGGAACATTTACATGGAAACTATATTCTCCTACAAAGTCGTAATTCAGCTTTATTGAACACTTCGCGTTCCGCAAACGTTTACTGTTGATAGTGTATACTAGTTAAAAATAGTTATCTTTTTGGGCAACCAATGCTTCTTGGTTTTGAAAGAACCTACTTTCTGAAAAAAAAGGCAATGTTGCTTTTTGGTGTGAAATGACAACTGGCGACAAATCCTAATACAGAAATAGTCAATTTTATTATTCCACAACTGAACAATCAAAAAGTGACAACACTTTTTTAAAAAGCTCACCTTATACTGTCATAATAACTTTCAAGAGAAAAAGAAATAAGGCGTACCAAATACATTTACGCACACCTTTAAATTGTAAGGAAGGTTTTCACAAAATCCTGAAGGACATTTATAGCAATGACACGTAGATTGTGAAATATCCTACATGTGCACGTTTTCTCGTTATTAGGAACCCTTTCGAATTCTGTGTAGAGAGCATGTTCTGCTTGTTTTAAACCAGATTCATATTTGTACCTACCATTTGATTTGAAGCGTTTGATTCGGTCGAAATCCCAGCTTTCATGCAGGCAGTACACAATCACAGCATCAACAAACTCTTTATAAAAAATATATACTGGGAACAATCCACAGGAGCTCCACAGGCTTGATGCATAAAGAAGCGATCAATTTGCAATAAAGGGTTGGCCTTAATGATAACTAACGAACAAAGGAAAGTATAGGAGATGCTATTTGTAGTAACTATGGCATGAATGTGCAGTTATTCAAGTGGAAGAAAAGACAAGTTGCTGCCAGTAGGGGCCACACCGGCGACCTCTGAATAACGCGTTGAATAAATGCTGTCAAATGGGTACCAGCAAAGCCACTACATCTTGCAGAGAAATAGCAGGTTAGAAACCAGAAGTGTCTAGAATTGTTTTATTGATTTCACTTGCCAGATTACAGTTAGAGTAAAGCACTTTATTCGATGCACCTTGTCAATGCAGCTACGATGATGATGATGATGATGATCCTGTCACATCCTGTAACTCATCCACAAAGGGGGATTGGTCAAGAACCGTCCATCACTGGTTGCCTGTGATATGTGTTCTTTCTCCTCATCCGACGGCTTCCCTTGTCCTCCAAAACATCACGGGACCATTCCGCGGCTCCGACCACTTGAACGCGATAGCGTTAAAGACAACGTTCGCAAAAATTCTGGTCTCCTTGATACTTAGCGAAAAAAAATAATTCTCGTTTTTGACGGCAAAATCATGATAAATTCGAATAAAGAAACAAATATATTTGATTTTATTAAGAACTGAACCCAGAATATCTGTGTAGTAAGAATGGGCCTGACTACAGTGCCACACCCGTTTTGTTAACTGTTTCGCGGAAAAAATCAGGCATTTTGCTCTAGCAGTGACGAACCTCACGATGTGCGGAACTAAGCTGCCTTTCTAGGGGTGAAGCTACTGCTATTCTAACCTTGCTCTGCGTAAGGTGTAACCGGGAGTATCAAACAAACAAGAAGACAGACGAATGGACGGACGCATGGATGCCCAAACGGACAGACGGACAGACAGACGCTTCCCCCCCTCATCACCACTCACTAAGTGGACATGCTGTGATTTTTTGTGTCTCTCTTTTTTTATTTCTTCCTTCCTCTCTTTCATTCCTTTTCTTCCACTCTGCTTTTGCTATATCTTTTTTGGCTTCGGTCTGCTTCCTTTTTTCTAATCTTTCCTTCTCTCTCTCGACCTTTCTCTCTCTTCCTTCGAATCCTTTAGCGGCGAAGTTCCTCTTAGTCAATTCTTGTCCTGCTGCAGGTGTAACCGATGAAAGACAAAATAAAAAAAGAAAAACAGTAACTCCCTAACACTATTGGGCGTGAGGCCCACTACTGAAGGCACCAGCGCTGCAATTGCTGTGACGTGCAGAGTAAATAATTTATTTATTTCTATTTATTTCAATCCCTCAGGGCTCAAGGGCATTACAGAGGGGAGTGGATTACATTTTTAACACAACATAATGAAAAAGCGGAAGATTGGTGGTTACATGGATCAGTGAAAGAAACCAACAAGAAATTGTGCACATTATAAGAGCAAAAGCAGGTATTAAAGAACTACAAAGCTTAACAGGTCTAGTACTTAAAGAACAAAAAAAAACTAAGACCTAAAAATTATGGCGACAGGATAGTTATAGCAGCCTTAAACATGGAGTTATTAGTAATCTCGACTACAGATCGGGGAAGGTGATTCCAACTTGCTGACGTATACGGGGGATGAATGAATTGTAAAAATGGTTGGTGTGGCATGTGGGAATGCCAACCTTATGACGATGGTTGATGTGAGCTGATACATAAGAAGAAGGGGTTATAAATTTATTCTTAAGGACTGAATTGTCGTAATATATCTTGTAAAACAGGCAGAGGCGAGATATTTCTCTACGTTATGAGAGCAGAGGTAATGATAAAGTTGTTTTCATGGAAGTGACACTGGAGGTGCGATGGTAGTTAGAAAGAATGAAACGAGCAGCCAGACTCTGGATGTATTCAAGCTGATGAATGAGTGTTTCTTGGCTGGGGTCCCACACAGATGGAGCATATTTCATTTTAGAACGGACTAATGATTTATATAGAAGTAATTTTACTGGAAAGGAAGAAAGAGGAAAATTTCGGCGAATAAATCCCAGCGTGCGATTAGCGTTTTTGGTTACATGTGTTACATGCATCTTCCAGAAAAGATCAGAAGTGATTGGTACGCCTAGATATTTGTAACATGACACATGTTCTAGGTTTGTATTATTAAGATAATAAGGGGGCAATGTTGTATCGTGACGTGAAACGCGCGTGTGCTTGCATTTGTTAGTCTTTAACTCCGTGTTCCACGTGTTAGTCCAGTTACGAACACGGTTTATATCTGATCGAAGAAAGTGAACGTCAGAGTCACTGTTAATAACACGGTATATAACACAGCCATCAGCGAACAGGTTTATTGATGAACATAGATTATCAGGTAAGTCGTTTATGTAGATGAGGAAAAGCAAAGGACCCAGCACAGAGCCTTGAGGCACACCCGACTCAACTGCAGAAGTGACGGATGGGGTGTTATTCACAGTGACAAATTGGGAACGATCAGTGAGAATTGGGAACGATCAGTTAAGCCATTGAAGAACGTTCGGATCAATGTTAAGTTTGCTGAGTTTTAAAAGAAGCAGTTGATGAGAAACCTTGTCGAACGCTTTTGAGAAGTCTAGGAATATGCAGTCGACAATGTAACCCCTTGGATCACGTGATCACGTTGGATCACGTGATCTCACTTCGCCTTTGCGAAGGAAGGCTGGTGGTAGGATGCCTTGTTTTTAACGGCAACTTTGCGGCCTTTTTATTCTTAAACAGCGTTGTATTGCTGCGACTTCATCTGTGGAAACTTTTGCAAACAACACAATGTGGAGTTGACGTTAAGTTGCAGTAAACGTTACTGGCGGCGTGCCACATTGCGCTACGTACGTGAAGCCACTGTCACCTCTCTCTTTCTTTGTTGTCGTGGTTGTTATTTCGAGCTCATGCAGTTAAAATGAGCACATGTCATGAATGTTCACATAAAAGTATGTTTCAGTTTTCGCAGGGAAATCTCGTTCACGATAAAAAATAACTGTGCAAACAGTTCAATTATGTATACGTTGAAATGGGGCTCTTAATTGTCAGAGAGTAAATATATAGCTCGTAAGCCCATTTCCTTTCGCTTTCTTTCGTTATTTTTACCCTATTCTAGTGTATTTCATGGACGGTTTCTTCTGCGTGTAATGCCAGCAATTTTGGCGAAACCTTCTTTCTTGCATAATACATGCGCCACTCTAATCTTTGCTAGAGCTTATTGTTCTCATCACGGTAACTTTTACCGTAGTCAGCGCCACCACCATCCTCCTCCCCGGGCATCCGTCCCCGTTTGTGTACCCGAACACGCGGGTTTCTATACGCCAGTGGCGTCGCCAGGGCGTGGCACACCAAGCCCGAGCCCCCCCCCCCTCCCGAATTTTTCTATGGTATATAGCGCACAAAGAAACGGACGCCCCAACCTGCCTGCCCGGCCCCCAGTTCTAATCAAGGTGCTGCTGCCTCAACAAAAAAAAAATGTCTACCAATGTGCCTGCCGTCCTCGACTACAGCTCACAGGGTTTATTGCTTATAGATTACGTCTTTAGAATGGGCCCGTATTCACTGTCACTTCCTCTTAGTGTTGTTTTTATCTAGAGATGAAAACGTGGTCGGCTTCAAAAACTGATTTGTCTTCGAAGAGCTGCCTTGAAATATAACACAGCTTATAAATAAAACTGCAAAACATAGCCTGGGCGCAGGCAATTTTACTGAAACACAAAATTGCCGTTTCGCAGCATGCTCAAGGAGGTTACATGATATGGCTGGGTAGTCACAATTTTTAAATCACAGTTTATTCCTTTGTAGAAGCTCTGCAACTGCAGCTATGATTCATGCCCATATGTGGCTGGACAGCGATCGATTGTGCAGCGTGAGACCACAGTAGAAGTTTCGCGCAATAAATATAAGCAGTGTGGCACAGAAGAGAATACAACTCTGAATGAAGCACGCGCGAGCGTGATTCTCACGTTTGCCCGGAATCATAACAGTAAATTTGCGGCTGCATGCGGCTGTCAGACCCAGAAAGCTGTGTTGCTTCCCGAAAAGCGGGG